TGCCCTGGTTGAAATGACAGACACTGGAGATCCACTATGGAGGGCTTCACCCTCCCTGGGGATAGGAGTAGAGATTGGGTAGGGGACTGGGGAACCTGGTGGAGAGGGCAGGGGAGGAGGGGAGGGAGAGGGGGCTGGGATTGATATGTGAAACAGGATTGTTTCTAACATAAATGAAAAAAAAATAATTTTTTAATAATCACACAATAAAAAAAGACCTGGAGTTTACAAAGAAACGTTGTAAGCAAACACACAGGAAGACAGAAGTGTATAAAAACTCTTACATGTTACTATGAAGGAGGTATTTCTAAAAACACATGTGGAAGACAAGCGAGAACATATATAAAGCCCTGAATTTGACATTAGCTTAAATGCTTGTCTGCACATTCCCATGTGTTCCATTTTGCTTTACTGATATTATAATTGAGAAGATATGTAAAGATCAACTGAATATTTAATTTAACAAATGAGGTTACAAAAGCCTAACAAAAATGAGGATGCTAAGGTCTCAGTCACCCATATTAGATTAATTTTATCACCTGTATTAATTATTTCATAGGATATTTTTAAATGATTATATCAAGTTTTAACATTCAAAAGACATTTAATCAAGAGTATCCATGATTTTTACTTTAATGTGTATAAAAACTTACAGAAGCTCTTGAATAAATAATATGTTTATAATCCATGATTTTTTGAGATTAACCTTTACCTCGCCTACCTTCTCCATAAATAGTACTTTTATATATTATACATGTTATGTAGAAAATCATTCCCAAATTTTGAGTCTGTAAGCAAGTACAGTTTGTTTTAGATCACTGATAGCAGTGTAATTTATTATTCTAAAATTTTTTTTCTACTGAGTTAAATTTAACAAATATTTCCCAAAGAAAAAAAGAAATTAAATCAATGGATTTTTTTCAAATATCAAGATATTGAATTCCCAAAATATAATTCCTGGAGACTATTTTAGTTTTCTGTAAATGTGACAACATTTTTGTTTAAAACCAATTCATTAAATATGAGTTCATATAACATATGGATTCTTTTGTATTGTGACATTTTAATCCTGCTTTGTATTCCATCAATTAAAAGTTTTAGTAAAATAATCACATGTACAATACATGATTTATAAACAAGTAGCAATTAACAAAGTTTTACTTATATGTAAAAATGGATTTATAATTGAAAGATGTAATAGGACAAATTCATATGAAAATGAGCATTTCCATATACTCTATGAAAGCCTAAACATCATCAATTGTATATATTAAATCTGGAGACAGTTCAAAAGAATAATTAATTCACTTTGAAATCTATGGTATTGATATTAGAGCTTGTAATGTTCACTTGCAACATCTGCATTTTAATTACAAATTCTAATTATCAAACATCAACATCTGAGCATTGTCAACATTTTACCATGTAATTATAAATGTATGTTTCTACTAATTAAGACACAAATAAGTTCATTGCTATTTTATGTTTCAATGACAAACTTTTCTCCATTGTAACTGGTTTTGTTACTTCTTGTTCATTATTTTTAAGGTTTATTTATTTTTATTTTGCATATATTTGTATGAGCATTTCGCCTGTATTTTGCCTATGTGTTACATACCAGTGTGGTGCCCACAGAGGTCATAAAAGGTCATTAGATCCCTTGCACAGGAGTTATGGATGTTTGTGACCCATATATGAGTTTTGTGAATTGACTCTGGGTCCACTATAAAAGCTGTCAAAATTTTTATCCTCTGAGACATTTATTCACAAGCTCTTATTTTATCTTTAAATGTTCTACTCTTTCTTTCTATTTCAATAGCATATGTAAGTATAAATGATAGTTTACAACTCCAGTTTAACATGCAACTGAATAAGAGAAGCATCCAAATTCATATTCTACATGCTCCAGATCCTGAGCCATGGATGACTCCCAAAGTCATTCCTAAGAATCCCCCGTATCAGTTCTCATGCACTTTTGCTTACACTGCCAAATTTAGTGAATAACAAAATTAACAAACAGTTAAATTACAATATAATAATAAACAGCAATTGTTTTTACAGCTTAGTATGTCACAATATTGCAGAGGGAATATCTACCATTTTACTTTTGTGAAATTATAATTTTTGCATAGCAAAGGGAAGGTAGCTGTAGAGTGACTACACACTCAAAGGAGTACTGCCACAGAGACAGGGCTGCATGTCTTGTATGATGCCTCACTCCCCTGATTACAGTAACAGATCTGTGGTACTGTATATGTGCTTTTATCAAAGAAAATACAGACTGCTACCTTTTTCGTTGACCAAAGCTGCACTTTCTTGAAAGGGGAGCAAACAGTTGCATATTGCTCTTTGGGTATGAGACCAATGATCTTTAATAATCTCATCTTGCTCTAGTATTTGAAGTAAAAGAGAAGTTATGCCTCCAGAAAAAGAGATGAGATAAAGAAAGACAAGTAAAAGAGATTTGACCTAATTATGTTAACATGCTTAATATATTCTAAATTCAGAGCTAATGCCTTCCAGAAGATTTGGCAATATAATATGCCACATGAAGGAGTTTATGACGGTTATAAGCAATAGTAGATCTGGCTGATTACTTTAGGAAATCATATGGTCTTTAAAATGATAAACCAAGTAGATAATGTGGAATATATTAATTTTCCATCTGTCTTAAATATTCATAATTTCCATATCAGTATTTATGCAAATATATGAAAAAAGTTTAAATATTTATAGCTTATTTTCTCTGTTGAGAAAGGGGTTTTCTGTGTAGCTCTGACTATCCTAGATCTTGCTCTGTATACAAGGCTAGCTTCAAACTGAGAGATCTGACTGTTTCTGTTGCCTGAGAACTAGGATTAAAGACACATGCCATTACTACTTGACATCTAAAGCCTATTTTTGAAGATAAATAAAGCAGAAAACTAAGAACATCCCCAACAAAGTTCTTCTGGTGTCTAAGTCTAAAATTCCTACCCTTTCAAAAATGCAGTCAATTTCTACAAAATAAATTTTTGTATCTATGGCATTGTATGGGAAGGTAGATAGCAATCTCTGCTGGTTGGAAAAATCCAATACCTCTCCTCACCAACACTGAGGTACTCTAATAATAGGTTATGTTATTCATTTCACAGAATGATCAATGACCATTGCATTGTTAGAAAGGCACAAAAGCTTTTAAAATGTGATAACCTAGAACAGAAATAGTCTGATCTTAAGCCTTCATTTTTAAACCTACTTAGCACCTTATCATGCTATTCAAGCTACAAAGTAAAACACATGAGAAAGACTAATAAAAATAGTTTTAAAAGATCAAACAGTAAATGAGATATGCAGAGAATCTGAAAATGTTTTATTTCTTTCATACGTTTAAATGTTGTGACCCAAATACTGAGTTTGATTCAACTCAAAAACTGAAGAAACATATGGAACCAGTCTGCTATTCACACATAACTGGCTAATCGGCCGAGCCACCAAAGCACACACATAAGACACCTTCAGTATCCAGAGAGAAACAGACACTAGCACAACATAGACAAATGCTGTGGTGTCACCTGCCTGCTGCCTGATAGAAGTCTTACACGGTTTTAATCTTAGACATTCCCACAGTCTTAAAGTCAGGCATCTTTAGTAAGACTCTGAAAAGAGAATTCTTTTTTTTAATATACAAAACTGTGCTGTATCTAAGTATCATTTACTCATCTGTTAAGACATATTTACACATACAAACATTAATAGTCAATACACACTTTTAGCTTATTGACAAGGGAAAGCATTGGTCACCACAAAAATAATTTGAGTTTATCAGATTTTTTAAAAACTGGGAAAAATGGGAAGTACAATTATTTTTAGTTAATTTTTTATTTTTTTTTATTCTTAATCAAGCAAATATGTCCAAAAACACATGCCCAGTAATATCATGCCCTTTTTGTCTCTGAGAAATTTAGGCAGAAAATTCTCCATATTTGTCACTTTGTTTAAAAACTTAGAATATCATTTTTTTTTACTGCTTCTTAGACATGATAGCACTTTGCGTGGACTAAGGCTGTTTTTATTTTTTGCAAGTTCAGCAAATGAATGGAACTTGATAAGGATACTCAGTGTCTTCTGGGAATGTGGACTACAGATAAGATTTATAAATCTCTGGTAATGCTAAACTAAAAACTATGTACAGACCTGAAGCACAGTGCCCTCTGGTGCACATACTGCATAGAATAAAATATTTATATAACCTTATAGTCACAGACACAAACATAGTAAGTTAAGTTTTATTCTTCGTAAATACCAACTGGGAGTTGCCAAATATGCCTCAAAGAAACAACTCAAAGCAATAATTTATATAAACATTCTTATTGACAAAGATATATGTGATCTAATTCATTCAAGTGACTCCTGGAACAATAATCTCAATTTAATTTCTGGGCTGTGTGAGAATAAGCATGTTTTGATGATTTCAACATATGATTTCTTTTGTAGAATATGCTTAGACTTCAAGTTTTAAAAAATGATAAAGGTTAGCAGTCATACATGTCAAACCTCTTTGGGTTGCTTACTATCATACCCATCTGTCTGAAGTTTCTTTATAGTCATGAATTTGCTTTTTCTCCAAGCTTAAGAATATGCAATTGCATTCCTTCAATGGAGAATAAGTTGGCAAAACTTCTCAGTGACTAGTAGAAGGCCTCATTCCATTTAGACTAAATGAAGTGTGCCATCAACTGATACAGTTATAAAAGTAATTTTAAGCATGTGCATTCATAATTTAAAAACAGCCTTCAAAAACACTGGCATGTATTCTCAAAACTGAACGAGTTATACAGCCAGTTACCCATTTTTTCTAATAAGATGTCACATCTTCAAGAAATAATTTTAGATAGCAAGAAAACATCACTGTGAGATTTGGTTAATGAAAACCCTTCTGACACGTAAAGTACATGGGAGCAACCATTATTTACACAAAACCTCCAAGTACTATATCTGCAATTGCTTTTCCTTCATACCTGTATATCTTGTATCTTGTGCTAAATCCCTGTCGGCTTCTGTCCACAAAGTCTGTGTACTCCTGTGAGCGATGGAAGGGTCCCTTATCAGAGAGGAGCCAGTCGAAGGGGCTTGTGGCATGCTGATCAGAGACAGCAGCAACCGCTAAAACCCAGCAATGAAGACTCAGTACTATCCACTCCCATAGAGCCATCAGAGAGGACAATTCAGCACCAGCTCTGCGCCGCCATATCATGCTTCCACTGGGGACTTAGAACCTTCATCCTCTCAGCTTTCTCTCAACACCTAGACAGAATACACAGGCAATTAATTACCCTGTAAGAGACTTTCCATCAGCTAAGGTACAGAGCTCACAAACTTCTGATTTTAGTCTATTAAATGTTTTCAAATTAGATAATAGCAGGAGAGATCATGAAGCAACACAGAACTACTTCTTTTTATAGACCTACATATTTTTATACAGTGTCCAAATTTTCATTGCAATGGAAAATTAGTCATTATGTAGATTATAGGCCATATCATGACAATGCCATCCATTTGGTCATTCATTAAATAAATTGAATATTGATAAGCTTGAGCAAATAATTGTTTTTCTGCTTAAACTATTTGTAATCTTCTATGTGGTCAAAATAGCCACTTTCGTTCATTATATTATTGTGTAAAACTATATTAAATTTTATTATAAATAATTAATAACATTACAAATTTTAACAATAGGTATATTTGATAGTTTAAGATTACTTTGTAGTCTTTATGGAATACACATACACACGTTTGGATTGTCATTAATGTGTCTGAATACAAGTATACATGTGACAGCGTGCATTGTGAATGTTGATGACAATCTCAAATCCTTGCTTTTCACTTTGTTTGCTTCATTTGACGTAAGATCTTCTGTAGCTTTTGTGCAACATATATGCCAGGAAATCTGACCCAGGAGATTTTATAAATTTCCTTTCTGTCTCCCTTCTCTCCAAGAGAATTCTGTGTTTGCAGACATGCATACTGTCAAGTCTGGCTTTTTTTGCGGGGAGAGGGGGGCGAGCATTCAGCTACAGGGTCTCAACTTTATGCAACAGGCACATTTCCTATAGAGCCATAATGAGTTCTTGTAGTTATTTCAGGGTACCTGGTTTTGTGTTGGTTTTTGAGATAAAATCTCACTATGTTGACCAGTCTCAGTCTGTCTACCTCTGGTTCTTTTACCTTGTGTTTTGGATTGAGGGAATGTGCAACTACAACCAGATCCTGTATGTGTTTTGAGAAATGCATTTGAAACATCTATTCTGATAACATCTACATAATTAAATAAACATGGACTAAATCAGTACTCCAAAAATACACAAATATACAAATATCTGAACATAATCAAGTGCGTGTACATTGATAGAGTATGAAAGCAAATGTTTATGTTAGAAAGAGTGAGAAATGAAGGTATTTTTCCAGAAACACTGTTTTAATGTTTTCTTAACCTTCTTCCTTCATACTGGAAAAATTTATAATTTAATCATTTCTCAGGGCTTCAGAAAGTCCACATATATAATGTGTCTTAAACTTGCATAATCATTCATAGTTCATGTGTGCACCGAAACTAAACAATATAGATTATTCATATAATTTGAAAATGCCCACATTGCATTATACCCATTCCAGAATAAAGTAAGGATGTATAATTCCATCATACACTTCCAGTGTGGAATACTGGCAATAACTCTGTACTAAGCTGCTGGTATGGTACAATGTCTATATATTATGTACAACATGTCCTACAAATGCTTGAATTTTATTTCTATTCTCATTCATTTTTAAAGACATTATAAAGTGTTTATATTTTCAGGAGTGAAAAGATTTAGTGTAGTCTTAAGCCAGCAGAATCCTTCATAATATAATCAAAATTAACAATAATAAATAAAATATTGTATAATCCCTTGCATGTCTTCTGAGAATTTAATAGCCTTGATTTACTGTTCTATCTGAATCTCCATATTTTAATTTAATCATAAATTTTATACTAATGATTTTGTAACTAAAAATATCTAATAATAACAAACCCATGTAACCTGGATCATTAATATCACAATTTTGCACTCTAAAGCTGACAAAACAATGTACACACAACATATTGACTTTACCAATAACATGAAGTAGCTTCACTTTGGTGACTGGGAAAAGCTGTCTTTTGTAAGCTTCATGAAAAATTATCATCTGGAAATACCTTAAAAGCAATTTATTGTCAGGTCTTATATGATATGATAGATATAAAATCATCTGTGAAGAAATTCAAGGCCTCTGATAGTTTATAATCTCCATTCTCATATCTGTCATTTCAAATTTCCAAATCTCTTGAGCAAAATGAATATACTTATACTTTGTCTTACGTACGTAGGAACTATATCTTAACAATTTTGTAGTTAGTTTTAATTCATTGGCTTTTTATTTCATTGTACTATACAGTATAATGTTCCTGTGACCAACAAATATCACTCATCTATGCCAACCAAGGATTTGTTAATTTCTACTTTTTAAAAAAGAATTGGCTGTTTTAAATTCCAGTGAAAATTTGTATTAAGCAGACAAAGTCAGAATATATATATTTAGAATATTTCTTTTATATCTGTACTCAATATCTAATCTGAACAGAAATAATTTTAGTTGAAAGAAATTTGTAATCATGCCATCTTCTAGGACCTTCTGATTAAAAAGTGATTAAGTTTGTTGAAAATTATAAACAAAGATGATTTGTGTGACTAATACCTTGGAAAATGATGCTTTGAGAACACTGTCAGATTTCTGCACTCTTCATGGAAAAGAATTTTACAGCACCTGGGCAGTCTGGGTTTTATAATAGGAGGTAGTCCTGAAGCATGACGCCATTGGTAGCATACAAGTATGTTCTGAAGTTGCCAGTGTGCCTCAGCTTGCCTCAGTCATTTGAGGACCGAATGATTGAAATAAATCCTTCTATGAAAGATGGTTTCATAACATGCTTTCCAAAGCAGTAAGTAGAGAAGCTTTGTGCTGTGTTTTTTTTCTAGGACAGTTGGAGATATTAACTGAGAGTATATGTATTTACAAAGGATGGACTATGACATAATGCAATAATGAAAGAAATCAATAAGGAAGTAATCAAATGCATCAGGATTCTTCCTCAGATTAGAAAAGCTGTAAAATGATCTTGACCTTGCCATAAATAATTCTGTGATTATTTTGTTAAAACTGGAAGCAAAATGTCAATGCAAATGTTTTCTAGAATCTTTTATTTAAAGATAATGACAAAATAAAATGAAAAAAAGAACAAAAATGTCATAGAAATGAAACTATACAACCAAGAGTTTATAGTGTAATATGTATGTTTAAAAATTAACATTGGTAAAATATCCTTCCTATAACAAAAAAGTAAATTCTGATATGTCTTGCATTCTTAAAATATTTATTACCTATAATATTCTTAAAAATTCCATTTTGACATATTAATATCCTATGTTGATTCATTCATGTCCTAATTCTATTTGAAAATTACCAATAATCTTAAAAAATCAGTGTGTCCAAAAAATACCAAAATGACATATACTACAATGTTTAATAATATAATAATGAAAATACATGCCATGCTATGACACAATTCCAGTAGACAAAAAATAATTCCTCCCTAGCTCTCTAAGATCCAGATTCCAATGTCAAATTTTATATTTATCTAAAATAATTATAGAAAATGTACCTGAAATTCAAAAATAGTCAAAAACTGTAAAGTATTTCACATAATATCAACAATGAATTGCTAATATGGGTGAAAGTATGAATATAATAACAAGTTTCAGAAATTGAGTTCTAGAACTGATTTTTGTTCATGTCCAAATTATTATAAAAGAGAATTCTATCAAATATTCATCTTTAAATTCAGCCAATGGGTGGGAAAACCCATGTAAAGTTGAAAGACCAGTGTAATAAACACGTTTCAATCCTTCATTCTCTTTCCCCCACACTCCTCATTGTCCAACACACATACAGATTCATAATTTTTAAGAATTAGTGAAAGGCCAGAAAAGCATCACGTATCCATAGAAGAGTCTACACTGGGTTCTAAACCTCCTACCCTCTGAAAGAACCATAGTATTCTACAAAGGAACCTTCATATCCATGCCTAGCAATACAGAGGTTGGCAAACAGTAAAGACTGATTTTTTTCTAGATAGTTGTTGTTTCTATTCCAGTGTGTTATAACTCATAATTTAGAAAGTTATAAGAAAATTAAAATTATGATTCACCTACAATGTGTAGTATGTGATCATTTTTAGATGGATATAGGCCACTATTAGGACTAAGAATAATACACCTATGCCCAGGGATATACTATGAGGACTAAAAACAGAACTAAGTATTTTCAACTGCAAAGTCATCCTTTCCAGGCACAAAACAAAGCACTCGGTATTAAAAATGCTTGACACAGTATGAAAGAGATTACATATTCAGCACCAGGTCAGTGACAAAGTGTATCAAGATCAGATATGTAACCATGATTTCCCTATGCCATTTTATTTATAAAAAATGTATTAACATCAAACAGATTCTCTTCAAAGAATTAATTTAGTTTGTATTGATAATTCCTTGAATAATTAACGTATTTGTGAAACTTCTGAAGTAAAATAGTTGTAAGTCACAAGGAGAAAGATCACTCACAATGGTAACGTGAATATTGTGGACTAAAAATCATCAACGAGAAAATATACTTAAATAAAAATTCCTTTGGAATATTAGTGATAAATAACTGTCTTTAATTTCTTAGTCATCATAAATTGCAAGTATTACAATTAATACCATATTAAATAGATTCTTCTTCAGGAGTCTTCTAAAATTTTTCAATGTCCTGGTGATAGCATGTCTAATAGTTTTGTTTATTTTTTCTAAGTATACGGAGTTTTTCTCCCAGGTTTTGCTGAGGTTATCTTGTGACCCCTAAAATATGTGTACTATTTTGTACAGAGCCAATTATTAACACTCTACTGAATTTAATAATATGTCTCCTCAATTATAGGATAGTTCAATGTGTCTTCTTAGACTTCATAGAGATTTCCATTATATTTATCTATGAGTAGTATATTATTGTACACTTTTTTATTTTTTCTTCTCTCTCCCATCCATTTTAGATTATTGAACCTCCTTACAACACTCACATTGTGTAGGTTAAAGCTGTCATTACAAGGGAATCCTTTTACATATTTCCTTTGCCTAAGCCTTGATTTCAGATGGTCTTTTCTGCTTATTTTAACTCACAAGGCAACACAGTGA